AATGTTCGCTGGAGCCCCCCCCCCCCTTGTATGATTTATCACATATTGCTGACCAACAGCTGGCAATTCACCCCACCTTCAAAGTGTCCAATTTGATCAGCTTATTAACATTTTTGCCTTTGGACATGATAGGATACCTATTCATACAGACTGAGTTGTTGGAAGCATAAAGAATACTTTAGCCCTTACTTAGGCCCTTACTTTCCTGTTCAGCTCCACTACTGAAATGAGAGAGTCAAGCTCTTTTTGTACCTTAAGAAAGCTGATAGTTTACAAGGGAAGCAGCTCCATCCTGGTGGTACACAGGCTTCCTGGAACAGGAAACAGAGAACTACACAGCAGCTGAAGCACATTTCCAGATGATTATCTCATCAGCCACATTATTCTTCACAGCACCAGTTAGGAAACATATTTTCATAACTTCTTTTCTCTGAAAGAAATAATTCTTCATACACAAATGGATTTTGAGCTTGTGTTTGGCCAGCAAAAAGGGTTTTTACTCAAAGAAATACAAACTAAGAGATACTGTTTTAAATAAATTTATAAAAAAAAAAAGCACTGAAGCATATACACCTATCACTTGTTTTTCCTCATGTAACAGAAAATCTGAATAGATGTTTTAGTAGTCTGAAAAGAATAAAATCAGAGAGCTTGCCAAATTCAATGCAAAACAGACAACCAATGATGATGGAAAGTACAGAACAAATAAACATATAAAAAGTAAAAGAAAAGAACTCTGAGGGTTAAGTGCAGCAATCATCTAATGTAGACAAACGTACAAAAAGTAAAAGAAAAGAGAACTATGAGGGTTAAGTGCAGCAATCATATAACGTAGATTCAGTCTAAATTTTCTTCAGTTCCATATTCAAATAAATCAGCTCAAGTACATTGTCTCTAGAATGGTAACATGCAAGCTTGATGAAGCATATGACCAAATACGCATAGGAATATACTTTTTATGTCATAGGATATTTGTAAAATATGAAAACTCTGATATAGTGAAAGAAATTTCATTTGCATGAATGAGCAAAGAACATCTACTCCATAGTGTTTTTTAAAAGGGGAAAAAAGAGACTACATTCATTTCACTGAACAAAGAGTCCACATACAGACAAAAAAGATTCTATGTTGTGATGTTTAAATGTTCTTAAAGACTCCACTTATAGCTTTTAGTTATCTTAATTATTACTAGATTGTATCTGTGCCTTAGGAAACGGAGAAACACTCAAAAATATCCACAAATGTACTTGTACAACGGAATACTGCACATCTACTCACAACTGGGTTAGGTAGGTCGACATGGAGGCTAGCTGCCAAAGATGGGAATGTCCACACTTAGGTACACACACTTCCCTTTGTGGAATAATTACCGATTTCGCTTGTTTGCTTTTTCTATCTGACACACAGTTAAGCGCTTGTCTGTCATGCTACCAGGAAGAGGCTCCTTTCCATCACTGGGGAGATTCGGGACTCCTCACTTGTCCACCAAGTCTTTTTTTTTTCTGGATTTTAAAATACATTCTCTCTTACTGTGCTTCTTGCCATCTGAGTCTCAAACATCAGGGTTTCATAGTCATCAGCAACTCTTTTGTAATTCTACTTTCAATTTGGTCTCTAGTTTTTGCATCGTATTTCATGGTCTTAAATATGTGGGAGAGGAGAAGTTGGGGGAGGAGGGATAGTTCAGGAGGTTTTGCACATTTTGTAGTCCTGTTTGTGTTTCCATGTCTCTTCTATTTTTGGCACCATGAAGTAAGGTGATAACCAGGTAGGATGGAAGGGCACGAGTGTGGAAGGTGTGAGGCTCATTGCGTACAGGAAAGCAGGGGTCAGGATGCAGATCAGGGGGAGGCTACTTGTCATTGACCTGTTCACTGACCCCTCTTTCTCCAACTCTGTCTGTGGTACCGTTGGTGTTGGCAGCTGCCATTTCACCCTCCTCCTTTGTTTTGACTCTCTTCGATTCAGGTTGGTCTTGCACTTCTCCATTCTGCCGCTTGGTAGGGAGGGATGCAGAGGCTGATGCGTGGGTCGCCAGGAGGTGGAGAGGGTTTGCAACAGCTGGAGGAAAGAAGGTAGAATTGATTAAATATTGGTTGTTATATACCCACTTTGGTGGAGGGAAGTAATAGTGGAGTGTAATGGAGCCTAAAGTGTTCCCACAGTTATCAGTTAATAAATGGGCAGACTGAGGGCTGGGTTCAGGGTTTACACTAAATAAATGTTTTTGTAAATGCAGGAAAACAAAAACATTCAGGATTTTTTTTTTTTTGGTTTGTTCCACTGTTAGCAAGCGTGGGAGCAAACACCAACTAACAAAAGTACCTTTTACACTGCCCATTCAAGGCATAAAAGTTGCCAACCCAATGGGGTGGGTTGGGGGGGCACCGAGATTCGAAGAGGCGACTGCTCTACCCACCACACCACTGTCGCCTCCCCAAAGAAACACACAACACTACGATGGCCGGGAATCGAATCCAGATCAACTGCTTGGAACACGTGTCAAACTCAAGGCCCGCCACGTCATTTTATGTGGCCTGCGAGAGTTTAATAGGTGCAAATATATATTAAGTATATTCTGCTTTAAAGCGTGAACTGACCATAAACTACATCTCCCACAATGCATTTATAGATTGTTACCCATAAAGTAACGGCATCTCTCCACTTTAAGTGGAATTGAGAAATCTCTACAAATGATCCCAAAATGTCCAAGAAAAGAGAAATCACCCACTTTCCTGTTTGTCAGAGCATCTCAGCCTCAATTCCCGGTGCTTTTTCGTGTGCTCGGTTGGCTACTATACTGAACTGGTTAATGAATGAGTTTGATCAGAGCTTCTCTGACTTTAAAGCACAGCACTCTGGTTTTGCCATCTTTGCCGATCCTTTCACCTCAGTGTTGTTGTCGTAAAATGCTACGTCTGTCACACTTGTTGGTTGTGCCATAGTTCTGCCCTCCTTGACTGTGACAAAAAAAGTTTTGAATAAAGTTACTATCATAACTTGTTTTTGATATTTTCCTGATTTACTTGAATAGTTTGTTGATTGATGGAGTAATGTGGGTTTCTTAACCTGAACATTTATTTTTACATCTATGCAAATGCATATGTAATATTTGTAACTTGAATAAGTAATAAATACAGAAAGTTATTTGATATGATGAGTAGTTTAATTTATTTTAAATTACATTACATTTAGTTACATTTATACTGTTAATTTGGCCCTTTGAGGACAACCATTATGCTAATGTGGCCCTCGGTGAAAATGAGTTTGACACCCCTGCATTAGAAGGTTGGTCCAGTGATTTATGTGTAGTGATTTTTTTGTTTTCCAGTTTTGAAAGATTATTTTCTTTGCAATATTTTTTTTATTGAAACAAAGTAACACATTAACAAAACAGTACCGAGCATGGGAGACAAGACAACAGATACATGACATTACAAAAATATAGTGTTTTACAAGATTGTAGTGTGTGAAGTGTGGGTATTTCCAACTTATGCAGTCTATGAAATGCAAGAAAGGGAAAAGGAGGGAAAATAAATAATTACTAGTGCTGGGCAACGACTAAAATCCTTAATCGCGTTAACTGCATGATTTTTCTCGGATTAACCGTGAATAACTGCATTGATATGAGCAGCATTCAATAATGAATAAAGTACTACTAATTGAACAAAAGTGCAATAAGATTTGGTTTGCAAACACTTTAAACAAATAAGGTACTTTTTAACAGAAGCATTCCCTTTGCACAGTAGCAGAAAATCTCAAACAATATAATCAAGCTCATATCAAGGCACATCAATCAAGGTTCATACATGCTGTCATTCGTTGCAATCCTAATAACGTTGCGGATTAACCGTGAATAACTGCATTGATATGAGCAGCATTCAATAATGAATTCAAAAGTAGTGTATTGTGCACTTCTATTTTAAAAGTACTACTATATGAACAAAAGTGCAATAACATTTGGTCTGCAAACACTTTAAACAAATAAGGTGCTTTTTTACACAGTAGCAGCAAATCTCAATGTAATCAAGCTCATATCAAGGCATATCAATCAAGGCTCATACGTGCTGTCATTCGTTGCAATCCTAATAACGTTCCTCAGATCTTCCACAATACTAATCGGCCTGCAGTTTGTAGCTATCCACTTTGCTATGGCATTTGTTAGCTTGTCTTGCTTTTGTTTACCTATACTTCTCCCACACGCTACATAGTCTGCTGAAGCCTCCTTCCGCTGTTTGTTTGGGTGGGTGATTTGCTGGCATCAACTGTGTGTATTACATTTAAGTGATACTTCAGACTCGAAGTACTCCGGTGATAAGAAAATTCAGCTTTGCAGTGGCTACAAATGACTTTGGTTCTATCAACTCTGCGGTGCGGAAGAGATTTAAATTGAAAATGTCCATGTAAGAGTCCTTTACCTTTTTCCATTTTTCTGCCCCCGCCAGTTCTATTCAGTTCCAGATGACGTGAGCGCTGCAGCGGTCTTACACCCACCCCAAATGCTCTTATTGGTTGAGACACATGATGACTCCCATCTCAAGCCAGTACTGATCAACATCCCACCCCTCCTGTTACCCATGGTTTGTCTGTATGTATATTCAGAGCCAGTGAGCAACGGACTTTCAAAATAATAGTAAAAATAAACTGCGTTAATGCCCAATAAAATAATTGTCGGTGTTAATGAAGTATTACGTTAATGCGAAAATAACGTGTTAACTTGCCCATCACTAATAATTACATAAATAAAAAATTACCAATAATAATGATAACAGTAATAAAATCAGATTTTTAAATCATTGTTGATAAGTGATAGGGAGCAGTAAATGGAAGGGTGGGTTGGGTCTTTGTTTGATTTTAAAAAGAGTGTCATAATGGCTGTATTCATATATACATATTGCTATTGTAGAGGTGGCTTTAGATTCTGTGGTGACTGAGAAACAGTGGTGATAACATGTGCCAGAAGCATCGGGACCTAACATGACACCTGAGGTATTTTTTGCAAGTGGAGAGGATGAGTGTCTTTGCCACCACGTGAGGTTCTGTCCACTTTGCAATAAGCTCCGTTAGTATATAACTTGTCCCCATCACCTTATCAGACAATTTCCAATCCCACAATCCCACAAACAGTCTTGCAACCTCTGGTGCAGATCTCATGCTTTTAGGCCACATTTCTCTCAACATAGAAAATATGTTTGGTTTCCAAGTGACTCTTCAGTTTGATGCACCACACTGGCATTAATTAACTTCTCCCAATAGATGACGCACTTATGCTGAAGGCTGTTGACATCAGCGGTCAAGCTGAAGCCATAAGACAGGTAGGTAGCTTTCATGACACTGTCTACTGACAATTCTTTTTTATCTTTTCCTGAGGTGGTTGTTTTTAGGCTATAGGATTTGCCACCGGAATCGGAAATGTGTGTACAAAGTAGTGATATAGTATATTAAAAATGCATTCATAACTCTCTGTATTGCTGTATACTGCAATATGTATGGTCTTCACAAAATTCCACAGCATACCTGGACTTGCCTCACGGCACACCGTTTGGGAGCCACTGGTTTAATTGGTGGATAAATTAACATGTTAGGACTAATCTAATGTATGTTTTCTAATGAAGCCTGGAAGTTGTGCAGCAGTGTTCTATGTGGTTTTTGTTTGGCCAACTGTTGAATGGTGACAGACTTCAGTAGAAGCTCTGCAGGTTTAAATGATTATATTGTGGTATTTAATTTAATTTATCATTAAAGTAAACAGATCAGTGGCTTAAAATTATTTTAGAAAAAGGCACTTCATTTCATAAATTGTTAACAATTAACCAATTATTGACTGTTAACACGATTAAAAGAAAACTGCTTAAAATGTGCATCCCTAATGCAAACAATGCAGAATATTACTTAAAAATCAACAAAATTATTGTAAGAGGAAGGAAATGTGCTTCTTACTTTGTGAGCACACAATGTGAGCTTCAATGCATCAAAATTAAAACAAGTTGCGCAAGTCCACAATACACCCCGCTTTGACAAGCAGATTAGTTTGGTGGTCAAAATAAGCTTCTTTCAGCTGAGGCTCCTAGCAAAAGTAAAACCTTTTTTATCTCGAGACAACTTAGAAAAAGCCATTCATGCCTTCATTAGCTCATGACTTGACTACTGTAATGCCCTCTATACTGGAATTAGTCAGTCTCAACTCCATAGGCTCCAACTCGTACAGAATGCGGCTGCTCACCCCGGTTCTTCAGTCCCTTCACTGGCTTCCAGTACAGTTTAGAATAGATTTTAAAATTTTACTGTTTGTGTTCAAGGCCATTAATGGTCTATTTGACTGATCTTTTAACCATTTATACCCTGGTCAGAGCGCTGCGTTCCTCTGAGCAAGTGTGTCTGGTTGTCCCACAGGCAAGGTATAAAAAGTGGGGAGATCGTTCTTTCACTGTGTATGCCCCCAAGCTCTGGAATACCCTGCCCCCCAAGGTTCAATCTATAATGGAGTTAATGGTTTTTAAGTCTAAATTAAAGGCACATTTATTCAGACTGGCTTTTGGTATCTAATATTTAGCAACGATGCTATACAGGGCCTACAGGCCTTCCTGATTTTATATTTCGTAATCTTACTCTCTCTGTACTTTGACTCATTTTTATTCTACAGGAGTGTTATAGTTCTTACAGATCATTGTTTTAAATTTGCGTAATGTTGACTGTTCTTTTGTTTATGTATTTTGGCATGCTCTGTTTTATTGTGAAGCACTTTGAGCTCCCTTCGGTGTTGTAAAGCGCTATATAAACAAATAAATTATTATTATTATTGATTAAGATAGGTGGATGCTGAGAGGAGAGGGCTGTACGTTGGGTTTTTAAACCGGCCTCCACTGGTGTATTAGCACACACCTGTGTGTCCCAAGTTGTTACATATTTGTAGACGCAAATGCTTAAGCATGCTTTAATCTACAATAGTTGGTGTGTGTGTGCCTTTCTTTTACTTACATTATGGGGACCAAAACATGTTAACACACTCACATTGTGGGGACCTGGCCATCACTGAATTTTAGGGTGGTTTATGGTTAGGTGTTAGGCAAGTATTAGGGTGTTAGGCAAGTAGTGGTTATGGTTAAGGTTAGGATAGGTCTACAGGCAATGAATGTAAGTCAATGTAAAGTCCCCACAAGGAATGAAAACACTGTGTGTGTGTGTGTGTGTGTGTGTGTGTGTGTGTGTGTGTGTGTGTGTGTCACCTGTGCTAGCAGCAGTACTGATGGGGACCAGATGGGTCCCATTTTGTGTGATGGCCTTTATTGGGAGCTGATGCTGACCAAGCGGAGCTTGTTGCACGATAGTAACTGTTGTCAGGGGAGTGGCCTGAGAGCTTTGGATTATACGACTGACTCCACCTATAGATGAGGCTGTGATGGATGGCACCGGCTCCACTTTCACTTCTCAGGGAGAGAAATCATATCAAAATCAATACATGTATATTGTCTGCACAACGCTATATTTAAACTGACACGGAAGATAGCATCATGAACCTGGTCTCACCTTTGACCTCTTGGTGCTCTCCACCTCCATTCTCCTGAGGTTCTGGGCTCACTGCAGCAGCTGATTGTCCACCAACAGTTGCCACGGTGACTGCTGGGATCTGGTGGACAACATGCACTGTCTGCATGACGGGGGTGGAGCTAACAGTCGTCGTTACAATGGCTGGTGTGGCCATGGCATAAGTCACAGGCTTGATGGTCGTCTGAGGCATCTGGCGCTGTACGGTGATCAATACTGGCTGGTTGTTGAGTGGGGAGCCTATCAGACGGCAGGCAGAAAGGTTACTGTTACTTCTGTAAAAATGGACATGTTGCACATAAATACAGAAAAATTCTGCACTATCACATAACTTTTAGGTAATGAAAGGACAGAGTTTAGCACTGTCATCTGATTTATTTTCCATTTCAACCCTTTATTGTTACAGTTCATTGCCTTGCCAATGGCACCTGTCAACTGACAGGGGACATAAACTAGTGCAGAATCTTGTTTTACCAGGGGAGTTCTGTGCAAAGCGAGCCTCTTGGATGACAGCAAGTTTGGGCTGCACTGTAGTGGTTTGTGAGGGGGCTGGTGGAGGGGTTGGCTCGGGCTCTATGGGGACTGGGGACCCCTCTCTAGACAAGCTGTTTGGGGTCTGGACCCCACTGGAGTGGGCGGACAGTGCCCCTGTGTGGTTGGGAGAAGCTGGAGCACTCCTGGGAGAGGAAAAGAAACAGTGTCAGTCACAACTGTACAAGTAAAAAAAAAAAAAAAAAAAAAAAAACCGAAAGGGTGCCTTCACTAAAGTCTAGTTTAAAGGTT